AGGTCCCCGGGCCTCCCGTTGTTGAGATGTTCTCGGAGGTCCCCTCCGCGATTGTTGGTGAGTAGGTCACGGAGGTCACCTGAGGCGTTGCCATTGTTCACGTTGCGAGAACCGTGGGAGCTGCGGGACGCCATTGTTTCAAGCTTGCTGTTGAAAGAGAAAAAAAGTTGTGTAGTAGCCTGCTTGAGTATTGGACTCAGGCTCTCAATGAAAGCACCAATGATGGTAATAATGTTACCGGTGATAATAATACTATAATAACGTTATAAGAGAGTAACAATAGTTGTATTGCTTTGTCTCAGTATAGAAAGTACAGTGTGTCCTGCTCAGCTGAGGGAAGTTCTATTTATGCTAGGTCCTAACGGTAACAACATGAAGAGACATCCTTGGGGAGCTGAGCTAACGGCAAGAATATGAAGAGTCATGAATGAGGCGTTGAGGCTTTAACTCTCTCTCATCAATGGTGGCATCAATGGTGGCTTCAATGACATTAGATGTGACACCTATTGGAATTCTAACCGTTGGAGCATCCATGCGGTGTCGGGTCAACTATGGTGCCGGGTCAGATGCACACTTATGATCCGGGTCGGGTGCTAGCTCTATTATCCTGTCAATGCCATTGAACTTTTACGCATTGTGCAATTGAACTATTGAACAAAAAAAGTGTATCATTGGACCATTAAAAGCTCAAAAATTGTGCAAACAACATTTTTTACAAGTTACTTCCAAGTTTCATTAAATATGATATTATAATGTCAAATTATATAAAAAAAAAAAATTATATTAATTATTATTTTTAAAAATTTAAAAAAAAAACAACTTTTTTTTTTTAAATTTCAAAAGAAGGTGGAAGCAACCATGCCTGCCTCCACCTTCGTCTACTGTGGATGAAAGGGGAGGCAACCATTGCTGCTCCTCCTTCGACCGATCCGGATGAATGAGGGAGCAATCATAACTGCTTCCCCTTCATCGTCGTCAAATGAAGGAGGAAGTGGCTACCTCCTCTTCATTTAGATCAGACGAAAGAGGGACAACCTTGCCTTCTCCCTCCTTCATCTAGATCGGACAAAAGCGGAGCCAACCATTGCTGCCTCCATTCTCGTCCTGAAGGTGGGGGCAGCCATAGATGCCTCGCCCCCCCCCCCCCCCCACTCCCCTCTCCCCCCTTTCACCCATAGTAGACAAAGGTGGAGGCGGCCATGACTGCCTCCACTTTCTTTTGAAATTTTAAAAATAGTTTTTTATTAATTTTTAAAAATAGTAAATAAATATAATTTTTTATATATAATTTGACATTATGATAACATATTTAAGAGAAATTTGGAAATAAGCTGTAAAAAATATTATTTACATAATTTTTGAGTTTCTAAATAGTCTATGTTAGAATATGTGGCTCAAAATCCTTCAAGACCAACATGTTCTCACCATGCAGCACATAATCTCCACGTTGCATGTTTACATCTTACACTCTCCATGTAATTGTCCACTTTTGTTGGCTCTTCTCATACATGCCGCATGATTTGCTTATTTGGAGTGTATAAATAGATTAGGCAATTTGCATTTGTAATCACCTCTCATTCAACATCAATTCATTGATTCATCTATTATCTTTCATTCTTTCTCACGTATAACATACATACATATATATATATATATATATATATATATATATATATATATATATATATATATACTTTGTATTCTCTATTTTGAGAGTAATATATATATTTTAAATCTCCCAAATTAGCTATTGCCTTATTCTGTCATTTATATTATTTCCCTATTATTTAACTTCTATAATTCTCAATTTTTTATTCTTCGCTTCCGCATTATTCCGATATATTCCTAACAAGTGGTATCAGAGCGGTTTATTTGAGAATTATTTTCAAAGATGTCGACTGTTACCAAGTTCGATATCGAGAAGTTCGACGGGAAAATTAGCTTTTCTATCTGGAAGGTTCAGATGGAAGCCGTTCTAACCCAGAATGGTTTGAAGAAAGCTCTAGCTGGGAAGAAGAAGAAACCAGCTACAATGACAGATGAAACTTGGGAAGATTTGGATGACAAAGCACGTTCAATCATTCTTTTGTGCCTGTCTAAAGAAGTTCTACGTGAGGTAGTAAGTGAGACGACTGCGTCAGATTTATGGTCCAAGCTGGATACGCTTTACATGGCCAAAACTCTGGCGAACACGCTACGCCTGAAGGAGCGTCTGTACACAATCCGTATGACGGAAGGTACTTCTATTAAATCTCACTTGGATGAATTCAATTCTATTTTATTGGACTTGGAAAATATTGATGTCATAATTGACGATGAGGATCGTGCTGTTTTATTGCTTGTCTCTCTTCCTAAATCATACAAGCATTTCAAAGAAATTATGTTGTATGGTAATAGTAGTGATACCCTTACTTTCGACAATGTTAAGTCAAACATATTGTCCAAAGAAAAGTTTGACTTTGAAATTAAGTCTGATGACAAAGGTGAAGGCTTGACCGTAAGGGGTGGTTCACTTGAAATCGAGAGTAACAATAAAAAATCTAGATCCAAGTCCAAAGGACGGAAGTCCAACAAATCCTGTAAGTACTGTAAGAAGCATGGTCATGATGTGACTGAATGCTTTAAGTTGAAAAACAAGCAAGAGAGAGAAAAGTCCGCTGAAGCTAGTGTTGTTGAAAGTGATTCAGAAGGCGATGTTATGTTATCTGTCAGCTCCGGTTGCAAACGGAGCGAAACCGAGTGGATTCTGGACTCTGGTTGTACATTCCACATGTGTCCTCACAAAGACTGGTTCGTCTCTCTGGAACCGGTTGATGGTGATGTTGTCTTGCTGGGTAATGATACCCAATGCAAGGTTAGTGGAATTGGAAGTGTTCAAATTAAAACTCATGATAATGTTATCAGGACTCTTACCAATGTTCGGTATATTCCTAATTTGAAACGCAATCTGATATCATTAGGCACCTTGGAATCTCTGGGGTGCAAGTACATAGCTGAAGGTGGAGTTCTGAAATTCATAAAAGGCTCTCTTATTCTCATGAAAGCTTCTCGTTCCGGAAGCTTGTACATCTTGCATGGCAGTACTGTGACAAGTTCAGTAGCGGTATCCTCATCGATGTCTGATGCAGATCTCACTCAACTATGGCATATGCGTTTGGGGCATATGAGTGAGAAAGGCATGCATCTCCTGAGCAATAAAGACCTCCTTGGTGGTTCAGGTACGGGTAAATTACAGTTTTGTGAGCATTGTGTTTTTGGGAAACAAAAGAGGGTTAGTTTCTCTACTGCTACACACCGTACCAAAGATGTATTGGAATACATACATTCTGATTTACCCACCAACTAAATTCCAGTCAATGGGAGGCTGTAGATATTTTATGTCTATTATTGATGACTTTTCTCGTAAAGTCTGGGTCTATTTCCTGAAACATAAAAATCAGGCATTTTCTATTTTCAAGAAGTGGAAAATACTTGTTGAGACTCAGACAGGTAAAAAAGTCAAGAAGCTCAGGACAGACAATGGTTTGGAGTTCTGTGAGTCAGATTTCAATGACTTCTGTGCGGCAAATGGAATCGCCAGGCACAACACCTTGCTTGGCAAACCCCAACAGAATGGTGTTGCCGAACGTTTAAACCGGACTCTATTGGAAAGAGCGCGTTGTATGCTCTCTAATGCTGGGTTATGGAAACAGCGTGATTTTTGGGCCGAGGCTGTTTCTACTGCTTGCTATTTGGTAAATAGATCTCCACATTCATCCCTTGATTTCAAAATTCCAGAAGAAGTTTGGTCAGGTAATCCTGTTGACTACTCTATCTTAAGAGTTTTTGGATGTCCTGCATATGCTCATTCCAGTACGGGTAAATTAAACCCGAGAGCTGTCAAATGCATTTTCCTTGGTTATGCTTCTAAGTCAAAAGGGTATCGTCTATGGTCTCCTGATTCTCAGAAAATCATTCTGAGTCGCGATATCACTTTTGACGAAAATGCACTACTTTCTTATGGAAAAGTTCCTAGTACAGATGAGACGCAGAGTACTGGTGAGAAGGTGGAGTTTGAGTTTAGGCCTATTGACAGCATTACTACCAATGATGGTAATATTAAAGATGATGCATCTACTAGCACCGCACCTCTCGTCGAGCCACAACGAGAGTATTCCATTGCTATGGATCGTTCTAGGAGGACAATTAAAAAACCTGCTAGGTATGCTAGTGATGATGAAACCAACATGGTTGCTTATGCACTTTCAGTCGCATAGGAAGTTGATGGTGATCCATCTTGCTATTCTGAAGTTTTTCCTATTGCTAAGTTCAAGCAGTGCTTGAGTTTGGTCGGCTGTTCCAATTGTTAATTTCACTGTGGATTTGATCCAAGGTGGAGATTGTTAGAATATGTGGCTCAAAATCCTTCAAGACCAACATGTTCTCACCATGCAGCACATAATCTCCACGTTGCATGTTTACATCTTACACTCTCCATGTAATTGTCCACTTTTGTTGGCTCTCCTCATACATGCCGCATGATTTGCTTATTTGGAGTGTATAAATAGATTAGGCAATTTGCATTTGTAATCACCTCTCATTCAACATCAATTCATTGATTCATCTATTATCTTTCATTCTTTCTCACGTATAACATATATATATTTACTTTGTATTCTCTATTTTGAGAGTAATATATATATTTTAAATCTCCCAAATTAGCTATTGCCTTATTCTGTCATTTATATTATTTCCCTATTATTTAACTTCTATAATTCTCAATTTTTTATTCTTCGCTTCCGCATTATTCCGCTATATTCCTAACAGTCTAATTACACATTTTTTAGTTTGATAATTTAATTGTAAAATGTGTAAAAATTTAATAGTCTATTTGACATTTTTTTCAAATTATATAGAACAAACTCATTCAGTAAAAATTAAATCCTTAACCATTTGTAAGTATTCAAATAATACTCTACTTAGTGGGGATAGGACCCACCCATTTGTAGTTGGAGGAATAGATGCAAAGATAATCGCTTTAACTTAAATTCGAGTAGAGCTAGTACGTGAAAGATTAGGTGCATCCATTCCTGCACTAGACACACGTTTTCTGGGAATTAATTCACAGGGCACTGTACACGTCAGCGATTTTTAACTATGGCTTCCAAGATTCTAGCCACCGCGCTCCGCCGTACGGTTGCTAAACCCTCCATATATTCTCGCCGCTTCTCCACTGCGGCGGCGGCGGCAGTAGAGCCATTCGAGGAGGACGCCGCCGGAATCACCATGAAAGGAGTAAGGATCGCCGGCAGGCCTCTGTACCTGGACGTGCAAGCCACGTCCCCGGTGGACCCCAGAGTCCTGGACGCCATGCTTCCCTACTATCTCTCCCGCTTCGGCAACCCTCACTCGCGCACCCATCTCTACGGCTGGGAATCCGACCGGGCCGTCGAGGAGGCCCGAGCCCACGTCGCGGCCCTCATCAATGCTTCCCCCAAGGAGATTATTTTCACTTCGGGAGCTACCGAGTCGAATAACGTCTCCGTTAAGGGCGTCATGCACTTCTACAGGGAGAAGAAGCGCCACGTCATCACTACCCAGACGGAGCACAAGTGCGTTCTCGATTCCTGCCGTCATCTCCAGCAAGAGGGTTTCGACGTCACTTATCTTCCGGTTGACCCGGACGGCCTCGTTAACCTAGATAAGCTCCGGGCCGCGATCCGACCCGACACCGGTCTCGTTTCAATCATGATGGTGAATAATGAGATCGGCGTGATTCAGCCCGTCGAGGAAATCGGGAAAATTTGCAGGGAATTCAATGTTCCTTTCCACACCGATGCCGCACAGGCTCTGGGGAAGATTCAAATCGACGTTGAAACGATGAACATTAGTTTAATGTCGCTAAGTGGGCATAAGATCTACGGCCCTAAAGGCGTGGGAGCTTTGTACATGAGACGCCGGCCGAGAATTCGAGTTGAGCCCCAAATGAATGGCGGTGGACAGGAGAGAGGGATTAGGAGTGGGACTGTTCCAACTCCATTGGTAGTAGGGTTTGGGGCAGCCTGTGAGCTAGCCAACAAGGAAATGGAATATGACACTGTAAAGATCAAATCTTTACAGGATAGGCTACTGAATGGAATCAAGGCTAGAATTGATGGTGTGGTTGTCAATGGCAGTTTAGAGAGGCGCTATGCTGGGAATTTGAACCTGTCTTTCGCGTATGTGGAGGGCGAGAGCTTGTTGATGGGGCTTAAGGAGGTTGCAGTGTCGAGCGGGAGCGCTTGCACTAGCGCTAGCTTGGAGCCCTCGTATGTTTTGAGGGCGCTGGGAGTGGAAGAGGACATGGCACACACGTCGATTAGATATGGAATCGGGCGGTTCACTACAGAGGAGGAGATTGATAGAGCAGTGGAGCTTACAGTGAATCAGGTCGAGAAATTGAGGGAGATGAGCCCACTTTATGAGATGGTTAAGGAAGGCATTGATATTAAGAGTATTCAATGGACACAACACTGATACATTTCGTTACTGGAGCTTTCATATTCTGATGCTATTAGGTGGCTGCCAGGTTTATATTTATACATGCTTTCGCCTTTAAATTATACTCGGTAGCACTTAAACTTTGCTAGTAGGTGGATGTTTTCTATCTGACATTATAGCATTGTATGATAGATATAGATAAACCTTTAAACACAAAACACCTTATGACGAGGACAATTGGAAAATAAAACTATTGAGTGCATATGCTTTTGTTCTGATGTTTTCGGTTGTGCATGTCCTGTTGCTCCTTAGACGCGAGAAATCTGCCCTGTCCTTCTACACAAATAAAGAAAAGGGCATAGAGAAGATAGTGTGTTCTAACGCGTTTGTTGGAAGATTACACATTGGGAAATTTGGAATACTTAGCCGAGCAGTATGCTTGAGAGACAATTGATTGGTTGTAAATTAGTGTCTTTCTTAGGGTGAAGCGTTTAATATTTACCTCTTCAAATGGTTGGTGAAGTTTTTGTTTTTGCAAATCATAAGCATTCCTCATGGTAAGCGTGTTTTGACAATTCCTCTGCTCCTCTCCAAGTCTTAGACCTCCATTATTGGCAACTAACTAGGGTGGGGAAAATTATGTTTTGTTCTTGGGAGTGTGATTTGATGATCAGATGTAAGTGGCTATCATAGATTAGTGCCCCTAAAGGAGAGGTGATAATCAGCCAACCTGGAAAAAAAGTTTTTACTTTTCTTTAGACTTTAGGAATAGAAGAAAACTTCACTGATATTAGTTCAGAAACTTTACAGTTTCTATTGTACAGAAACTGCAGAATAGTGCTCAAGGGACCTTCCCGGTTTTGCTGAACAATGAGATTCTCAGCCTAAATCTCGATGCGCCTTTGCTTTGCTATACTCTTACCTTATGGAAGAAACTAATTTTTATTCATATTGAGTTGCGCTGTGTGTAATTATTGCTCTCTAATCCAAACTTAATACTTCCCTGCTGTCTTGTATAAACTGTTAACAATTTTTTTGCCTGCTTCAAGCAGAAAGACTCAGTTAATTCTTCAATGATGTTACACATTGGATAATGCCTTATTCCAAAAGACATTTCCAATCCCAGTTCTTTATTCACTGTTTAAAAAGGCTATCTGCTTGAAGGGTTGCAGGAATGAACAAAGTTTAGGCAGTGAAAATGGCTTGACAGGAAGATGATGAAGTAAATGATAAGGGCAGCATTGGGATTCTTGATTCACTTTGAAATGGGTATCACAATCAGGCCAAAAGGGGGATTCTTTAGGAAGGACATTTTGTGGCTGTTTCATCTCTTGTGAAAATCTATTGATAGAGGTGAGTACATTTTGTCCCAACCCAAAAAGATGTCAGCATTATATTTTCTTGAAAAGAAGAATACTGGACCATAAGATATAAAAAGGACTTTGGGAATCAGAATATAATTTCAATGTTCACATGGGCCACAAACCCTTTTTCCAATTTGTTTTGTTTGGATCAACTCCATGTCTCCATCCCCAAACATTCTTCTTTGATTTATGAGAAAGTCTACGGCCCTACTTGAAGGGTGTGTTCTGGGTGAAGCCGACAAAGAAGGGCGTGTTCTGGGTGAAACCAACAAAGGATCACAAATAAGTCTAAGTTAGTTGACGTGCTTAAACCAATAAAGCTAATAAACAGTTCTCTAAAGAATTAAATTTAAAATTTTATAATTATTAATGAACTGTCTGGCTAACTTGGCTGAATCCAAACATTATTTACTTAGTGTGGGTCTGTGGGCACTCCACACACACGTGACTGTTGCACGTGTTTTCCTTGATTCTAGCCATGAAAGAGCCAAATAAAGAAGCTGCAGCTGCTGTATTTGCTTACAGGACCTTAAAGCTGTGTTATGTACAAGAAAGACGCCTTAGTTGCAGTAAAAAGGAGGCTGATTTAATTTTATTCTCATCTTCTTCCCTTCTTCTCTAAAATATTTATTAATCCCTAATTATTAGTAAAGAAAACTTTCATTGGCACGTAACTAGGATTGCACCCCAATCCCGAAGATCTCCACCATTCCTACCTTGAAGACTTAGTAGGAAAAGTTAATCACGAAATGTACCTTAACGTGACCCCATAGGGTCTCTGATGCTTGTACGCTAATTTTCACAACAATGCCACTTTTACGGTTTTACCCCTTTCCCAAACACCAAGTTAGCAAGTATATGGGTATTAACCCAAATCAAATTGGTTAACTTGTTACATAGTAACCACAACTCCATAAGGTCATAAGTTTGATTCTCGGAAACAAATGTATGACTTTAGATTTCTTTGTTATCGTAGAGAAATCATGCAATCTGCTTAAAGTTGGGTTACTTGAAGGTGAGTAGAAATTGGTTTAGCAGGGAAGCATAGCTACGCTACACGTTTGGATGGATCCACCACATAAAAAGCTGTGTGATTTCTTGCTACTCAAGCAAAAAAGCCTCCGCAGAACATAAGTTTTCACTTTTTGGGTAGAAAATTGATTTGTTATATGAATTTCTTCAGCCATTATACTGTTGTATGAAAGCTGAAAGGACAGTACTAAGGAAGACTTAACGGTGGCGCCTGTGATCTCTGATAAAGTCAGACTGCCATGAGATACAGTAGTAATTACATCCCGGATCCCCAATCTCCTCTTTATTCTTTTTGGTTAAACATACTCGTTAATCTTGCCCTTTTAAAAGGCCAATTTTCTAAGCACTATGACCCTCACAACCCAATTCTATAGTATCATAGATCATACTTCACTTTGTAACGGTCCAAAATAACAGCGTTTCAACTGTTATGATTAATAGAGTGTCGTTTCTGAACAATAAATTTTGAGTTTCTGAATATACTAGTTTATGAATATTAAATTTTGAATTTATCTGAACATATATAAGACATGTAACAAAGTGAATGACGTATATACATTAAATTTTAAGTTTATGAAGATATGTTTAGTTTATTATGAATATATATGTGAAATGAAAAAAAAAATTGACAAAAAACGATGTCGTTTTAGACAGAAGTCCATTTTATAATTTGAACTCTGGTGGATGATATAATTTGCAGATGTGAATGAGTAAATGACAGTGACTCAGCTACTCATTAGGCGGGAAAACCTAACTTCTACCGTGCGATTGTAGCTTAATTCAAAAATAAAAAAAACCAATTGAAATACTTGTGTGGATAACGCAATCACGGTTAATCTGGGTTTTCTCATAGTTGTACTGCCAGATTTGTTAGCAGAGTATGGTCAATTAATGCAGTTTGTTTATGGACGCTGGCATGCATTTACTTTCTGTCATTTTGTACCAGATATTCGCTGATACAATTATAATGCATGGAAGAGGAAAAAGATGCTCATTAACAATGGCAATACAGGCTATTTTACAGTAATTAGCAGTAGTATTAACCATTACAGTGCTAATGACGGATCAGAAACAAGAAGAAAAAAAAAAAGGAGAAAATTTAATTTGGCGTTTTGATCAGGGGTTGAAGATGAGATTACCGCATTTGCATTTCCAGCTCATTGGCTTGTAGTTTGAGCTGTAATTGTCGTCTGTACTGGCGCGGGAAATTCTTGACGAAGAAGACGGCGTCGTGTCGCCGCTTTTTCTCTGCGGATTAGTGGGCACCTGAATCGCCTCGCAATGCTGGCAAGAACTGCATCTCCGTTGGCACCTCGGCGGCCTCGACCCGATTTGCCCTCTCAGAATCATCTTCTCTTCACTTTCCGCCTGTCCAATCCAAAATTCAATCTTCATTACATAAAGATCAAACCCAGAATTTATAAAAACAAAAAAAATTGTTGCAACTATTCTACCTTGGGATTGGCAGCAGGCAGGAGTAATCTTCTAGCTTCAAGGTAGCTTGAGCTGCAAATCAAGAAAATGAGGAGTGAAAGTGCCCGGGTGCAACTCATTTCAGCAATGAATACCCAGAGAGAGAGAGAAAGAGAGAGAAAGAGAGAGAGGGGACCGTGAAATTGATGGAGAAAGGTAGAGAGCAGAGAGGGTGTAATAAATACTACAGGCTAAAGGGAAGCAGGCAGGGAGGCAGATAGGTAGGAATGAAGAGAAAGCTAAGAAAAATGGAAAAGTGTGCGATGATTGAGATGTGTAGAAGAAATGGCAGAGAGTTCAAAAGAGGGGAAAATGATGAGTGATGGATGAAGAAGAGAATGATGAATATAATGTGTCACTCTCTCCATATATGAATTTGGAGTTTTCAAAAAGGAAAGGGGAAGAAGCTAAGCTAAGCTAAAGCAAGCCTGGGAGTATGCGCCCAGCCTTTCCCAATACAAATGCACACATCAGATTAAACACAAGAAAAACCAAGAACCGCATGCACAGCAGAGATATGGGAAAGCAACAGCAAATAAGGAGATGAATTTTTGTTGGGATGTGAATGAATATTACATTACATTGCATTGTGAAAGGGACCCCCTTTACAACAGCAAGACGCCACTCACACCACCATCTTCATGCTGCTCAAACTCATATATATTTACAGCTGTTTTGTTTTGTTTTGTTTTTGTTTTTTTTTTTTTTTTTTTTTTTTTTTTTTTTTTTTTTAATGTAAGGTTGTGCACTGGGTAAATCCCGCAATGTGATACAAAATACCACAAGAAAGTAAACAAACTTAAGTTGTCGATTGGCTGATACCAAGAATGTCAATAGACACTCTCACAAAAAATCAAATTTAAAAAGCTTAGAGTTATCAAGTTAACAGTCCAACCCGTTATTCTTATTACTGGTTTTTTGTGAAGAGTGGAGTGAGGTGGGGATGGGATGGGGGTGGGGGTCTCTTGTTTTCAGCTTTTTGAAATTAGGATATATATTTTACCCAAAATGGGAGATTTCTTGCAGTGGTTGGTTTCAATAGTCATGATGCTGCCTTTAATATTTTTGCTTAGGTCAACACTTGGTGATTGGTGAACTCAAATGCACAGTGCATGCTAAGATGGATCCATGTGGCCATGGGCATAGCAACGTAACGATCCACCTTTGACATCAGCCCATGCTTATACATTTAATCTAGTACTAATGTATGTATAGCTCCATTTTTAATTAATCTATGATTATATATGTAAATTACTTTGTTTCAACAATCTAGGTTGAAGGCCTTTGTGTGTAGCAAACTAGCAATGCAACAATGAGTGATGTAAGAGGGAATGAGAGTTAATCTACGGATGCTTCTACCGCCGTTATTATATTATTATATTGTAGTTCATATCATGCTTAGTGTCCAATTTTTATTTTTTTTATTTATTTTTTTTTTTTTTGAGATAGAGGCTTATATTCAATTTTTGAATCAAACTAGGCAAATGCATAGATCACATGCACCTAACCTAGTTAGTATAAGCCTCTAACTCAGATTTTTTTAGTACCAAATATGATGAGATAATACAATTTTATTTTCAACAAAATTAATATAAGTTGCTGTCACAGGGCAAAACCCTCTATAAACTACCAAAGATGGAGTTTGTATATTGATTTTCTATTTTTGGAATAATCTAACCTATGGAATATATAATTAAGTTTTAGAAAAGATATATAAGTGAATTTTCACTTTTAAGTTTAGCAATCTAATGTTCAGTAATAGTCCTCTTAGGTATAAGGTAAAATTAAAACTTTATTCTTTGAGTTATAAAGTTTTGCCCTTAATTAATATGGTGTTGCAATAGTATCACCTAATTATAGTCACTAAGATGGTGTATTTAGTCCTCCTTAACAATGTCATTATTTTGGACCTATGGATAAAAAAAACATGTGTTTTTTGAATAAAGTCAAATTAATTAGTAACTTTTGAATAGTGTAGGTATTTCTTTCAACTATTAACAATTCTAATTCTCACATTATGAATATCCTAAACCTCAATAGATATTGGCCCTGTTTGGTAAAAAATTGGCCTATAGGTCAATTTTGGCTTATTTGACCACTATTAATTGTTTGATTTAGTTAAAATATCAATATAAATGTTTGGTTAATTAGCTTTTTACAACTCCAAAAGGCTAAAATTCAAAAAGCTACTCTAAGCAACTTTTTCAATTAGCTTTTTGAGAAAAAAAAAATTATACAAAACAACTATCAGCTAACAGCTAATTTACCAAACACTTTTCTACAATCAGCTAATGTTATCAACTATTTATACCCTCTAATTAATACAATCAGCTAACAGCTAACAGCTATCAGCTAACAGCCATTTTACCAAACAGGGCCATACTCTTCTCCATCCAAAATCAATTGAATCATTCAAAAAGGTCATCTCCAATGAATAGTCATGTACATATAAACTTGTTTGGTATTGTTCAAGTTTATGTCCAAGAAAAATCAGACTAAAACTACAATTTTGCCCTTTATATATTAACGTTGTTTATGTTTTTATTCAAAATACCTCTATATCTATTAGAACAAGGATTAATTACGCCATCATGGTGGCTAATTAGAGTGTATTATATTATTACAACTCTTATGTTAATTATGGACAAAAATTACACATGTTCTATAACTTAGGGACTATAACTGTAATTTTTTTTCTAGATATAACACTTGACTTTAGGTCAATGACTAAAAGAGAAGCCTCTTAAATAACTCCAATATTAAAGCCATGTGAAATAAATAAATGATTAGGGATTAAAATAATAATTCACCAATAACTTGAGAACCAAGTTTGCTATGAAGGTTGAGATGCCAAATTAGCTAAGAAGTTTGTTTCATTCTTTCCAAAAAGGTTGAATCCCCAACCCTAAAGGCCTCTCACACTCCGGCCCGACAAAGCATGGATGATGTAAATCATGGTAACTCAACCGAATCATAGAGACTAGACTGGTTGCTCCCACACTGTCGCTGGTGAGATCGGTCCTTGGTCATTCTTCCCAAACTTTACCCTTATGACCAGTTGAGCTATCCATGCGGGCAAGAAGTTTGTTTCATGATTCCAGTCACGGTAAACCTGTTTTTTTTTTTTTTTTGAAAAGATAAACATGTTTAATTAATCAAGGTAACATGATTAAAAAAAGGTTACGAGATTAACAAATTTCAAGGTATTGTCTAGTAAAATTTCTTTTTTAGACTTGAAATTTGCTAATTAGGCTATCTCCAAAGAAGGCACTTAAACACCATTTTGGTGTAAAAATTTGGTGCAACTAACCTTCCTCAGCTCCAAGGAAGGCACTAAATTTTACACCAAAATGGTGTAAATGAATAGTGTTACACCAAATATGGTGTAACACTATTCATAGATCTTTTTAATTTTTTTTTTTTTTTGGTAATTGTTTCCTTTTAAAATTTTATATTATTAAAAATAAATTATAAATATTTAAAGATCTCATTGAGACGTTTAAAATGATATCAATATCGACTATAAAATAATTAAAATTAAAATAAATAAAAATATAAATTTCATATTAAAATATTATTTATAATATCAAAATTATATTTTATATTAAAATAATTAAAGTAAATAAATTAAAGTTTTAAAATATATGAATACAAATTATTTTAATGTATGAATAGAATTTGGTATAAATGGATTGGAGATCAAATAAAATTTGATGTAAATAGGTTGGAGATGAAAAAAATTTAGTGTAACAATATGCTAAGAATATTTCTTTTATTAGAGCAATCCCCGTTAAAGGATTGTTCACAGTTTTTAAGGCAAAAATGCTAACTTGTCCCAAAAGGCTAAATCCCCAACCCTAAGGGCCCCCCACACTCCGACCCGACAGAGCATGTGGGAGGATGTAAATCACGGTAACCCAATGGGTTAGTAGACAGGGCCAAATGCCAGTGCGCACAAGAAATCGGTCCACTTTGGACATAATTCCAACACTGCCGCCGTTGAGGTTCGAACATTGGTCTCTTGTCACAAATACTGCCCACTAAACTATTGAGCTAAGCCCGTGCGGGTACAAAAATGCCAACTTGGAAGAGAGGGAGGGAGGAGAGAGATGGAGTGAATTTCTCTTGTAAATATCAAGTTTTTTTCCAGAATTTGTGGGTCCCACCAAGAGAGAAGAAAGTTTGTGGGTCAGAATTTTTTCAGTTTTGTTTTTTCTTTTTCACATATTTTTCTCTCTCCTCTCTCCTATTTGACACCTAAAACCTTGTGCTAAAAATTTATCTATTGAGGATACCCTAATATAAAATTTGGTGTAAAATTTGATGTTTTGAGTTGGAGATTGCCTTATACTAGATAGAATTTCTATTTCGTAGTATGTTGAGTTCTTAATTATTAAGTTGACAAATGGACATGACAAGCAGCTAAATTCACAAGGTAGTGCTATAGACTAATTGGGTCAAGTGGCTAAGCAATTAGGCATAATGATATCTTATAGGCATGGTTGTTAAGCCTAATAAGATTGTGCTACCCTATAGGTTAGGTAGGTCAATTCATGTCAACTCTTGTATTATGGTGATCGATTTTAGAAGTTTATATTGTTAAAAATATATAGCTCTCCAAATTAGGATTTTTGGTGATGATTTTTTGAGCTATATACAATTTAAGTTGATTATTTCTTTGTAGTTTTTTAATAGTTAGAATTACAAGCAAGACAATTTTTATCAAAATATACTTTCATGTAATAACTACTAACTTTCCTATAAATCATAGAAAATCAGCTTAATTGAACTTTCCCTTTAAATTCTTGGAATAAGGGTCAAATAGGCCATCCAACTGCACACAATAATGTAATTAGGCCACTGAACCTAAAAAAGCAACAATTAGATCCCTAAACTAACAATTTTATTGCAATTAGTCTAATTTATAAGTTTTCTAGGTTGCTAGCAGGTCACCTTTTAATTTAAAATATTTTTTTTAAATTTAAAGTATTTTTAAAATTTTTTTATTTAAAATAATTATTTAAAAAAAAAAAAAAGAAGAAGAAGAAGAAGAAGAAGATCGTCTCCGGCCATGGATTCGTCTCCATGGCCGGAGACCTCTTCGTCTCTGGCCGGCCGGAGACGAAGAAGTTATCTTCGTCTCCGACAGTGGAGACAAAGAGACTCTTCGTCTCCATGGCCGGAGACGATCTGTTTCCTTTTTTTTTTTTTTTAAGTTTTAAATAATTATTTTAAATAATAAATATTTAAAAAAATATTTTAAATCCAAGGTGACCTGCTAACAACCTAGAAAACTTACAAATTAGACTAATTGCAAAAAAATGATTAGTTTAGAGATCTAATTGTTGTTTTTTTTAGGTTCAGTGGCCTAATTGAATTATTGTGTGCAGTTGGATGACCTATTTGACCCTTATTCCTAAATTCTTTAATCCATACCAATATGCAATTAACATTTTGTTCTATTTCATAATTTGTCAAACTAGGGAATAGGGTATAAGTGGTACGTTATTCAAGGTCATGACCAAAACATATGTACTAGTACTACTTTTATTCAAA